AACCAATCCTGACTGACTTCTTCTGATTGAAATAATGGGATGGAGCATGGATTTGGTTGTTAGACAAATCCGCTCAGCTCCAAGCAGGTATTTGGCTGCGATTAAGTCTCCAATCGGGCTTCATAAAAGCCCACTTAGTGCTAGAACAAACAGGGCCATTTGAAGGCAAAATGCTGTTTGATTTCCCCTCCGCCCGCACAAGGAGCTGGCTAATGCTATTTGATTTCCCATTTTTTATAGCAATGAGCCCACATTGATCTAATAGGGAGTGAGTGCAATGCTATTAAAGGTGTTTGCAGCCCCATACCAGAGTGCATTTCCGAACCTAGGCCTCATAACCAAAGAGACGATCAACACTGGGCAGCCCCGACGGCCAACAGAAAACAGATGTCCCTGAGTTAGGAGCTGAGTGAATCACTTTACAGTCAAAATCAAGCGCTGATAAAGCACAATAAATTCCATATGGCTCATTTAATACACAACAGCTTTTTGCATTAGAGGGCTAATGATGAGGCCTGTCCCCTCCTTTCTGTTGACACATTTCTCCATTGTCAAACAGAGATGTGACAGCAACTCCGTATTTTCAGCTCAGGGGAACGAGTCGTGGGAAAGTTAAATAACTTTAAAAAAAAAAAAGGAGAACGCCCCCTCCCCTTCTCCTCTCTCTGTATTCACTGGAGAAGATGTAATTAAGTGAATATGAATTATTAGAGTCCTTTCGTTTACCTTTGGGGGGCCTCAGAGGTATTAATTCAATAATGAGGAATTGCAGGGGGACATCTTGATAATTGCAGTTGAGCCAGAGAGACGATCCATCTGTAAAAAGGTTTCCACGTTCTTTAAAGGCATTCTGCCCGCACTGTCCCCCTCCCTTACTCCTTTCACTGACCTCCAGGAGTGGCGGATATTCTCGTCTAGACAGATTTGGATACACAAAAGCTGCCCACCCAGCCTGGTCCCATCTAGTCTTACTTTTTCAAGCCTCCGGATTTCCACACCAGAGTGTTTCTGCAGTTCACAAATAGATTATTTGAGGGCTGTGGAATGTTATGGATGGCTCCCTTTACAGCAGAATTTTAAGTAATCGACTGATTTGGATTCTCCATTTTTCTTGCCCAGCGTGGCTGTCTAGAAGTCAAGCCAAGCTTAGATACTAGTGCTAGTAATGACAGCCCCCAGTGTGTATATTTGAAAGACATGGATGTCTTTAAAACATTTTTAAAACATATTCCTCTGGGATCATTTACATTATATTTTAATATAACTCTGTATAGCCCTGGAGTTCATTCTTAATTTTTAGACTTGTGTGCAGGCATAAACCCAGCCCTAAAAATATTAATGCCTTCAGGGGAGAAGGAGCATATCTTAGCCGTGGGTGTGATGAGCAGGTCACATAAAATAATTTCATGCTCCTGGGAGTTATTTTTAGACTATGGTAGCTGCCACATTTCAGGTAAAGGTCTCTACTAAAACTGCTTTCTATTAACAATTAGGAAGATACCTTGTGCTGAAAACCTCCCCCAAGCCTAGAACTATCTTATTTAAATAACCTATTTAAACCACATCCCCCAAAGAAATAAAGGACCTGTTAGCTCTGAAGATATGGAAAGTTGACAGGTATCCTGCACTCTGATTTCTATATATCCAGGTCACTGCTGCATACCTGGTGTACGCAGTCAGTGTCTTCCTGGGCAGGACTGGGCCCACCATGGAGCCCCTGCAGATAGCAGGCTGCGTGCCCGGTATTTTATTTCATGAGGAACAGACCCTTAAAATGTATGCTTGTTCAGAAACTGCGGTTGGCATTGCTTCCCTCCCTCCCAAACCCCAGAACCCAGCCTAGTGCTCTAGGTGTTCGATAAATGTTTTTGGAAAGAATAAATGAACCGCCTCCCCATTCCCTTTTAAATACAGAGCAGGGATTTTGCCAGCTCTTGGGTGAACTAGCGAAGCAGGGGAAAGTAGCTGATGTGCAGCAAAAAGCTGAATAGGAGTTTCCACCTGCCTTATTTTACTCCTTCCTCAGAAGAGACTTATGAGTACAGGTTTATTACCCCCATTTTACAGATTAGAAAACTGAGATTGAGAGGTTTAAGTGACCTGCCTAAAGACGCACAGCAAGCAAATGGCAGCGCAGACATTTAAACCTTGGTTTCTCCATCTCTAAATACACCGAACCATTTTCCTTAAACTTGATAAGAACTAGGCTAGTTGAAATACCCACTGGAAAGGGTTTGCTACTGGCTTTAAGTTTGGTCCCGGAGGTGTCCTTGAACAACCGGAGGCCAGAGAGGGCCGAGGTGGGCGCAGGCCGCAGTGGAAAGGAGGCCGGGCCCGCAATGAGGGAGACGGGCGGGGACGCGCCCCGAGCACCCGCGGGGCCAAGACCCGCGCCGACCCCGGGCTATCTCTGCCTTGCAGGTCTGGTTCCAGAACCGTCGGGCGAAGTGGCGCAAGCGGGAGAAGGCAGGCGCGCA